GGGGTGGGGGGGCAGAGTGAGGGGTGGGGGGGATGGGGTGAGGGGCGGGGGGATAGACTGAGGGGGCGGGGGGGCAGAGTGAGGGGCGGGGGGATGAGGTGAGGGGCGGGGGGATAGACTGAGGGGGTGGGGGGCAGAGTGAGGGGTGGGGGGGCAGAGTGACGGTCAGGGGGGATGGGGTGAGGGGCGGGGGGCAGAGTGAGGGTCAGGGGGGAATGGGGTGAGGGGCGGGGGATAGAGTGAGGGGCTGGCATCGTCAGTGAGGCCGGAGGCACCGGGAGCTACAGCTGGGGGCTGAGGGACAGGCTTGCTTGACTCAAACCAGGGCAGGAGGGGTTGGGAGCCTGCAAATGAACACCCACGTCTCTGGCTCCGTGGACCACACAGCAGGGCGCCCTGGCGCCCAGGGCTGGGGTGCCCCCCTGCTACTCACGGCCTCCTCGGCCTGCCTCTTGTAAGCCTTCACTTTGGCCTGAAGCTTGTCCACGAGGTCCTGGAGCCTCAGGATGGTCTTGTGGTCCTCCTCGGCCTGCGAACAGAGTGCCGTGCCAGGTCCCCAGGACCCGCCCCTGCTCCCGGGGGGGGGGGCTGCGCTCGGGGAGGCTTTGGAGACCCTTACCTGGTACGTCATTTCCTTGACTTTGCGCTCGTATTTGTGAGCCCCCTTCAGAGCTTCGGCCCCCCTCTTCTGCTCAGCGTCCAACTCACTTTCCAACTCCCGCACCTGGACGGGGGGTGGGGGGGTGGGGGAGAGCACAGCGTCCGGGTCAGAGCCCCCGGCTTCTCCTGCGGACTCGTGAGTGGGGAGCATTTTCCGGCCCACTCGGGATCCTCTGATTATAGTTTGTAAAAAATGTCTCCTCCTCGCACTTAGGAACCACATTTTATTTATTTTTACAAAAATGTTTATTTATTTTTGAGACACAGAGAGACAGAGTGCAAGCAGGGGAGGGGCAGGGAGAGAGGGAGACGCAGAATCTGAAGCAGCTCCAGGCTCTGAGCTGTCAGCACAGAGTTGGATGTGGGGCTCAAACTCACGACCCTCAAGATTCTGACCTGAGCTGAAGTCAGATGCCTAACTGACTGAGCCCCCCAGGCTCCCCTGCCTTTGCTGAAGTCTTGAGGGGACAGGACAGTCACCGAGAACACAGGTCACTAACTGTGGCCCTGACTGGCCCCACAGTCCAGAGAGAGCTGAGAAGTGAGGGTGGTGGCCGGCCACGGGGAATCCCAGCGGCCACAGACGCGGGCAGCTCGGGGCCCGTGGACTCAGCAGACCAACCTCGAAATCCGCCAGCGGCACAGGTTAACTCTGGGCACCGTTCGGAGCGGATCCCTGGGAAGCTGTTCCCAGTATGTTCTACAGAACACTGGTGTTCTTGGCAATGCTCTTGTGGCCTCTGCGGTTTACAGAACTAAAGAAAACTGCCGGCTGGGATTGGAGGCCAGTCGAGGTGCTCGCATGTGAGGGGGAGCCTGGCCGAGGGCCCCCTGCCAGCCCAGGAATCAAAGAATCACGGAGGGTAGGTAGCATGGGATCTCATAGCTCCCTCAGTGGAGGGGTCCGTGAGAAGGACGGACCTAAACTCCTTTGACAGAGTGTGGCTGGGAGTGATGAAAAAGAAGCACTTAAAGACTTTTGGGGGAACGCGCTTAGCGCAGAGCCTGATGCTGGGATTGAACTCGCCAACCGTGAGATCATAACCTGAGCAGAAATCAAGAGTCCACGTTCAACTGACTGAGCCACCAGGCGCCCCCTGGTGTTGGCTTTTGTTACTCACGTGTCCACATCCTTTTTTTTAGTCAAAAGACCCCTTTTACAGTGTGTACGTGCTGGTGACCACGCCCTTGGGAGACTGGCATGGAGACTGATGCACGTGAGGCCCTTCCCGGCTGGGAGAGGTTGTCTCCTTCCCTTGGCCTCTCACCCCCTTCTTCTCCCCCGTTTCCATTTCCTCCCTCTGGGACAACAGGGACCTTCTTCAAACTACCCCCCAAGGAGTGCTTTTCCAGAACACCAACTGATTATGGAGCCCATTTTCAAAACAAATGAAAAAAAAAAAACCCCATCTAAAGGGAGAAGCAATGGGTACAGGAAACCAAGGGAGAAATTAGCAAAGAAAGGAAAACAAATACAAAGAAGGTCCCAGATACAGACAGAGAGGGATCGCCTGGGGCAGGGCGTTGAATTTTCTTGGGGGCATCGGCCCTGGGGGAGGGGCCAGTCTGGGACGGAGCACTGTGTTGCTGACTGCACGGGACCGGGAGATCCGGACGGGGTACGGGAGCTGAAGGTGAAGAGGACCATAGACTTAGGTAGGATGGGCCACTGCTCACCAAGGTGGAGGCTGGCCTGAAACGGGACTTCACCAAATACGCGATTTTAAGAATGTATATTTCCCCTTATTTCCCTGGGTCCGAATTGCTATAAAAACAGGATGTGGGCATTTATAGGTGTCATTGCCCCGCAGCCATCGAGCCACAAGCCCTGTACCGTGGGTGGGGGTGTGTGTTGGGATGTAGGAGGCACGGAGTTTCTGGACTGAGGCTCTGCCCGAGGGGGGCGCTCGGGGAGCCTCTCAAGCCACCCTACCCGGTTCTCCAGCTTCTGGATCTGCTTCTTCCCGCCCTTCAGGGCCAGCTGCTCGGCCTCGTCCAGACGGTGCTGAAGGTCCTTCACCGTCTGCTCCAGGTTCTTCTTCATCCGCTCCAGGTGGGCGCTGGTGTCCTGCTCCTTCTTCAGCTCCTCGGCCATCATGGCCGCCTGTGAGCAGTGAAACAAAACCAGTTGAGAGAGCTGGGCGGGCACACCAGGGTTCAAGTTTGACCACCACCGTGTTGCCCTCTGCTCACATCAGTGATGGCCTTCTTGGCCTTCTCCTCCGCGTTTCTGGACTCCTGCATCGAGTTCTCCACCTCCGCCTGGCACTGTGCTATGTCGGCCTCCAGCTTTTTCTTGGTATTTATCAGGCTCGTGTTCTACAGGGAAAATCATGTGCCAGGGGTACAGGTTATAGTTCTCCCGAGAGGGAGAAAGTTGGGCGAGGAAGGAAACAAATCACGATCATGTTTCTTATTTTCCACGTGGGGATTTGCTAGGTACTCTTTTATTCTTGACCAGTCATAAAATAACTGAGTGAATGATAAAGGTAGATTTTCCCATACTTGAGGAAGAATAGATTATTCAGTAAAAGGTGTTGGAGCAAAGAAAGGATGGGTAGACATAAGTACATAAAACATGAAATACTTCTTTTTTTAAAAGTTTATCTTATTTTGAGAGGGGGTGGAGAGGCAGAGCAAGAGAATCCGAAGCAGGCTCTGAGCTGTCAGCGCAGAGCCCGATGTGGGGCTCGAACTCAGGAACCGTGAGATCATGACCTGAGCCAAAGTCGGATGCTTAACTGACTGAGCCATCTAGGTGTACCTTATGTGAAATAATTCTAATGATCAAAACACACCATAAACAAAGTAGAAAACACTTGCAACGTATATAGGTGAAAAACACTCTCTTCCTTAACTTATAAAAACGACAGATCTCACAAGTAAGAGAACAGGGCACAAAATACAAATAGGCAAAACGCTTCATAGGAAATACAAATAGAATGAAATGTTTCACCTCCTTAGTAATCAAGGAAGTAAACATGTTTAAATGTGAGGTGTTTTTCAACAATAAAATTGGCGAGGATTAAAAGATGCACAGCTGGGGCACCTGGGTGGCTCGGTTGAGTGTCCAACTTCGGCTCAGGTCATGATCTCACGGTTCAAGCCCGCATTGGGCTCTGTGCTGACAGCTCAGAGCCTGGAACCTGCTTCAGATTCTGTGTCTCCCTCTCTCTCTGCCCCTCCCCTGATCACGCTGTGTCCTCTCTCTCTCAAAAATAAATAAATATTAATAAAAAAAATTTTCTTTTAATAGCCAAAGAAGACTATTTAAAGCTGTGGAAATATGTTCAGGCAGGTTGTTAAAGTGAGGATAAGAAGCTGTGAAAAGACTGGTCACATTTGTACAGAAAAATATAATAATTATAGACATCAATAAGAGCTTGTAATGAGAGGGGATGAGCACTGGGTGTTATATGAAAACCAACTTGACAATAAACTATTAAAAAAGGGAAAAAAAAGAAAGATCTCAAAATAGTCACACTGTGGTTGGTATTTTTCTTCTTTTTAAAATTTTTAAAAAATGTTTGTTTATTTTTGAGAGAGAGACAGAGTGCAAGTGGGGGAGGGGCAGAAAGAGAAGGAGACAGAATCCGAAGCAGGTTCCAGGCTCTGAGCTGTCAGCACAGAACCTGACGTGGGGCTTGAACCCACAGACCACAAGATCATGATCCAAGTCACAGTTGGACATTTAACTGACTGAGCCACCCAGGTGCCCCGGGATATTTCTTTTCTTCTATACATTTGCTTGTATTCTCTGTATTTTGCAACAGTGGATTTTTAAAAAAACTTTCATAAAGGCAGGGGCGCCTTGGTGGCTCAGTCAGTTATGTGTCCAACTTGTGATTTCAGCTCAGGTCATGATCTCCCAGTTTGTGTGTTCGAGCCCTGCACTGGGCTCGGTGCTGATGGTGCATAGTCTGCTTGGGATTCTCTCTCTCTCTCTCTGTCTCTCTCTCTCTCTCAAAATTAAACAAATAAAGTTAAACAAATTTTAAAAACTTTTATAAAGGAAGTAACAAATAATTATTTTGTTTTTTTAAAAAACGTTTTTTATTTATTTTTGAGAGAGAGAGAGAGAGAGACAGCGTGAGCAGGGGAGGGTCAAAGAGAGAGGGAGTCACAGAATCTGGAACAGGCTCCAGGCTCTGAGCTATCAGCACAGAGCCCGACACGGGGCTCGAACCCACAGACTGTGAGATCATGACCTGAGCCGAAGTCGGACGCTCACCCTACTGAGCCCCCCAGGCGCCCCAACAAATATTTATTTTGAAAGATAATTCTAATTTTCCAAGATCGGGGCTTGGATGTTGCCTCCTCCGGTCTCTCTATATAATAATTCGTTCTTGCCGCCTCTGATCTCCCCACAGCGTGCATCGGCTCGTATCTTCAGATGAATGACAGCTCAGAAATCTGGCATCTGGAGCCCAGTTATTCCAAGAACTACAGCTTGAGGCAACTTGGTCTTGACCGCTGGCCTGGCAGGAAGGGCAGGTGCCGCCTTCCACTGTCCGGGCCCCGCCTGCCCCTCCTGGCCCCCACGGGACGGACGCACCTGCGAGTTCAGCAGCTGCACACGGTCGCTGGTGTCCAGCAGCTCCTGTTCGGACAGCCTGCGGGTCCGCTCCGCCTGCTCCAGGGCCGCCTTCATCTCCTCCAGCTCCTCCAGCAGGAGGCCGTTCCTGCGCTCCACAGTGGCCAGCTGCTCCTTGAGGTCCTCGTTGCTCCTGAGGGCGTCGTCCAGGTGCAGCTGCGAGTCCTTCGGGGTGCAGGGGGTGCGGGGGGGAGAACCGGCGTGAGGCCGGAGCCTGGGGCGGGCTGCGAGTCCGCGGGGCCCGCCCCAGCCTGCCTGCGCGCTGACCTTGAGCTGGCCCTGCACGGTGCGCAGGTGTCTCTGGGTCTCTGCCACCTGGCGGCTGGAATGGCCCAGCTGCACCTCCATCTCGTTGAGGTCGCCCTCCATCTTCTTCTTCAGCCTCAGGGCCTCGTTCCGGCTCCGGACCTCCGCATCCAGCAAGCCCTGCACGGCCTCTGCGGCCCTCTGGCTGTTTCTCTTCAGCTGCTCGATTTCTTCGTCCTTCTCAGTGACCCTGCGGTCAAGCTCCAATTTCACCTGGCCCAACTCCAGTTGGACGCGCAAGATCTTGCTCTCTTCGTGTTCCAGGGAACCCTGATAAAAGCAGAGGGGTAACTGGGGGGTGGTGGTGTGGGTGGCCGTCTTTCTGAACGGCCCTTTTCTACCCCGTCTTCCTGAATGGCCCTTTTCTGCCCCATTACGATAAAATGGGCATTATTCTACCCATTTTACAGAGGAGTAGGGGTCAAGCAATTTCCCCTCAGATGACCCTTACTAGTGACGAAGCCGGAAATAAACCTGTGTACCTGTTACGGACAATTTTATGTCAGGAGGACAGAGCATCTTTTTGAGTTCGTAAAACCTTTATTGGGCGAGTCTATCCTAAGTGACTGTAAGTCAGGGCTCGCCTAGTCCCTAAAATGACAGGGTCATTGCCTACCCGTCATCCTGCATTAAGCACATTTCCCTAGACGCAGCTCCACAGTCCGCCCGCCCTGCGCTGGCCACGCTGATGAGGGCATCGGGACACTGAGTCTGTGTGCTGACTTTTACAGAACTCCCGGCGGCCAAAGATGGTCATGTGTGACTCTGAAAAGATGGCTCTCAGGGTGTTTGGTGATTAAGGACTTGCTTCCTGAGAGGAAGACATTGAGGGCATAACGAACACATATATTTATTTTTAAGAGGGGAGATGTGATGAGCCGAGCCGGAGGGGCCCCTGGAGGCGAAACACAGCCCAGCTGTTTCCCCGGGGACGGCTGGATGTTAATCTCCTCTGCATCTCCTGGCAGGAGATGGCCCCAAAGTCATGGTCAAGTCCCCCCTCCTTCGGCGTCCCGCCCTCCCGAGCCGTCACGTCCCAGACGCTTACCTCCGCCTCCTCCAGGGCAGCCTGGAGGTCTGACTTTTCCTGCTCCACCTGCTTCTTGGTCTTTTCCACTTCCTGAAGGTTCCTGCCCGTTTCCGCAATCTGCTCGGTTAAGTCGGAAATCTCTTCTGCAAAGAACAGGCTCTATTTAGGCCATTTCATCCTGTTCCAGGCAACCGCTAAGGCATTTTGCCGGGAGTCGTGGGGGGACCGGGGATTCGTTCACATTTACAGAGGACAGGATACAGTGGAGCCCTTCAACTGAGGGGCCAGAAGGACACGGGTGTTGCCTCGCCGGACATTGCACAGAGCAGTGGCGAGAACACCGCGTGGCCCTTAGAACTTCACAAGGTGTGTACCAGGCAAGGGCCAGGGGAGGAAATTGTGGACTCAATGCATAGAATATAGAATCACGGTCTTTAGGAGCCAGAAGAGGTTTTAGGGGGAATCGGGTCTGGTCTGATCTTGCAGATCAGGAGTCTGAGGTCCTAAGGGACTTAGGGACATGTTCGAGGACACAAAGCCACATAGAGATGGAATGCATAGAAAACCTTGGCCCCTAAGAAGAGGTGAGCTTCGCAATTCATTTTGTCTTTTTTGCTGCAGAATGAGACCTTGGTGTGACTGCCATACATTAGCAGGGCTGAGCTCCAGGGTCAGCTGAGCAGATGGAGGGGGGTGTGGAGAGAGCTCACCTTGCAGATTTTTAAAAAAAGTTTATTACTTATTTTGAGAGAGACAGAGACAGCATGAGATGGGGACAGGCAGAGACAGAGAGAGAGGAGAGAAAGAAGCCCAAGCAGGCTCCATGCTGTCTGCACAGAGCCCGGCACGGGGCTTGAACCCATGGACCCTGAGATCATGACCTGAGTGGAAACCAAGAATCGGACGCTTAACCGCCTGAGCCCCCCAGGTGCCCCATCACCTTGCAGATTTTTGTTCTCCCGCCTCAGGGTCTCCAGCTGGTCCACCACCTCCTCGTAGGCATTCTGCATCTTGAAGATTTCGGTACCAAGTGACCTAGATCCTTTCTGAGCAGCTTCCAACTCAGCCTGACTCTTGTCCAGCTTTTGCTTCCACTCTGCAAGGACCTGGGAGATGACCAAGGGACACGTGAGCAGCGGAAAGGGCCAGAGAACCTGGGGGCGCCCATGAAAACAAGGAGCGTGTGTCAGCAATGCCACGGTTTCACCCTCCCATCCTGGGGCCCCAAGAAACAGGATGGGTCGCATTCTAGATCACGGGCTTCGGGCTCTGATTTTCCCACAGGTCGTCTGCTGTGTTCCCAGAGGTGTTAGGGTCTTCGAAGTAATCAGAATCAGCTTTCTCTAAAAATTCGCTTTGGAGACACCGTCACAAAAGCAAAGAGGCCCTGCAAATCCCAACTGCCCACACTGATCTGCTGCTCGGAGGGTCTCCCTGAGGGCAGGTGCATCTTGCGCATCCAAGCGGGAGAAGCTGCGGATCTCGGGAGACGGGGGTGCGCAGACCTTATCCAGGTCTCTCTGCTTCCTGTCCAGGACGACGCGGGCTGTGTTGGTGCGTTCCAAGTCCAGCATCAGATCGTCCACTTCCCCCTGAAGCCTCTGCTTGGTCTTCTCCAGGGAGGCGCACTTAGCGCTCACCGCCTCTGTGTTCTCCTCTGCTTCCTGGAGCCTCTGTGCCAGCTTTTTCCTAAAAGAACCAGATATTTTCCCCCTTGGACTATTCAGAACTACCCGTTGGACTGGATGAGGAGGGACAGTCTGTTCAGGACGGGAACTTGGTAAGACCAAGCCCTAGAAAGTGATGAGCGGACAGGGTCTAGGTATCGCCTGAAGAATCGCCAAGTGCTGGGTGGCAAAGCAGGCCACCGGGAAGCCACCGAGGGAACAGGTGGGATGGACAGTCCCAGGGGAGGGACAGGGAGGCCCTATCTGAAAAATTAAGAAAATTCAAGGGCCCAGGGAGGAAGGAAGAGGGAGTCTCTCCAAGTAGGCAGAATGATCCGTCCCTCCACTTGTTTTCCCGGGGTCACCTCTCCCGCCGCATCCCGGGACCCCCGTACTTGGCCTCCTCCAGCTCCTCTGTGCGCTGGATGGCGTCCGTCTCTTATTTGGTCCTCCACTGGGCCACCTCGCTGTTGGCCTTGGACAGCGCCCTCTGCAGCTCGGCCTTGGACTCCTGCTCTTCCTCGTACTGTTCCCGCAGCAGGTCACAGTCGTGGCGGGAGGACTGCAGCGCGTGGGCCAGCGCGTTCTTGGCCTGCGGCAGCACGATGGTGACATTGCAGAGGCGTCTGGCCGTCTTCCAAGCTACGGTGTTTTCACTTTAAACCGCCATTTCCCAGCGCGAACTATTCCCAAGCTGCCTTCGCAAAGCTTCGCCACATCCGTGTATGTCCCATTTTATTGAAAAACTTTTTTCCGGCTGACACCCTTATTATATTTAAATGTATGTATTTCAGAAGTAAACTATTAAACTGCGTTAGATAGCAGAGCATTAGCGTTTGCCATAAACAGGAGGGAACCGTAAGAATAAACGCCGTGGAGATTGAGCATCGTTATCTATCACCTAGCTAGGTACTTTCTGGCGCGGCTCTGTGCCGGAGGCCTCCTCTCTGTATAAGGAAAATAAGCGCATGCTAGAGAGATGGTATCCAAATTGAGATCTTTTCCTTATGCAACCAGGAGAATGGAAACAGAACGAGAAAGGAGTAATTTGCTCGCTATTTGATGCCATGCTATGGAAAGCCTTCCCTGAGCTGAGCTGCTACGGTACCCTGGCCAGAGGGCAGCCTCATTCCTATAATGGACCTTCTCGTTGCATGTTCATACTCTGCTTCTTGCCACGACCCCCACCCCAGCCCCCCAAAGACCGTTAGCAAACGACAGGAAGATGGGAGACTAGATAAAGTGCTTGTTCTTTCTTAGGCGTAAGTGGAGCTCAGGAAAATTCCAGAAGATTGCCTTGTAAGTCTTAGACGGTGCGTGGCCACCTCAAATATCAGAGTATAGTGTTGTGGACCCCTGGACTCCTAACGCTTGAACACACACCGGCAGCATTTATTAGGCACCTGCTGTGTGCACTGCTCTACTGGGCACTGTACCTACTGTTTACCATGAGGGAAAAATTATTCTTGCCTCGGCGTTTATAGACCAGTGGGGATGTGGTCATGATGGACGTAAATATCTCAATATCAGAGTCAAGACCGTGATGACGATGTGCGAGTTTATGTACGTGCCCCAAACGGGCCCCGAAAGCCACGCAGTGATTTTGGAGGAGAGCTGAAGAGCAGGTGCCGTAGCAGGCGACACATGAGTGATGTGGAAGGAAGAGGAGGGCCTTTCGGGTGGCCAGGATGAGGAAAGAATACACGGGGGGAGGTAGGGATGGTCAGGCTGGTGCAGTGAATGGGGTGGGGGGCTGCCCTGGCCGGAGAGGGATGTTTACCAGAGCACCGCGTGGGGGGCAGAGGAACCCAGAGGATGGGGCACCCCGGCTCTGAGGAAGGAGATGCAAGGCCCAAGTCCTGTAACCTCAGAGGATAAGTTACTAAAGGTTCCTGCGCAGCAGAGGAGAAACGTGGGGGTTCCTGCCATTGCACCGCCTGCGACCAGTGTTGGTGGCTTCTGGGGTTCTGGCTGCGCCGTCCCAGAAAGAGGCATTCCTACCTTGGTTTCTTCTTCCAGTTGCCTCTTAAGCTCCTCCACCTGCTGGGTGAGGGCCTGCTTGCCTTTGGTGAGCTGTGAAATCAGAGACTCCTTCTCTTCCACTTGATGGCTCAGCTCCCCTGCCAAACAGACGTGGGAGTGTCCCCGCCGCCCTCTTCCAGGGCCCTCCGGCACCCCAGACCCCGCCCACACCCGGAGCCCCGCCCACACCTCAGAGCCCCGCCCTCTCCCACGGCCCGCCCTCACCCCGGAGCCCCGCCCTCACCCGGAGCCCCGCCCACACCTCAGAGCCCCGCCCTCTCCCACGGCCCGCCCTCACCCCGGAGCCCCGCCCACA